TTCATACTTCTGCCAAAATAATCTTCCTAAAAGCACAGTTGGACCATGTCACTCCACTGGCTCCCTATTACCTTGGCTTGGCACTTAGACAGACTCCTCCCTTTCCAGGCTGCAGCCTACTTTTCCAGACTTATTGCATTGAGATTCCTTTCTTTCTCATAGTCTACATTCCAGCCAAACTGTTGTACTTATTGAGAGCAGGGACTTTTAGTATGGTACCTGGCGCACAAATAAGTGGTTAATAAAATACTTGTCAACTGACTGTTTCCCCAATGTATTACTCTGTTTACCACCTCCATGCCTTTGAATAGGCTGTCCCAGAATGCATTCCTTTTTGTACCTTTTCCTTTTAGAAATACTAGCTTCTCGCAAGGCTTAACACATGTTCCATCTTCTAAGGAAAACTTTTCCTACTTCCCTTTGTTGTTAGTAGCCTTACTCTCCTGCCTTAAATTTGCATGTTTGCATCCCCCAAAAGAATGTAATAACCTTGTGGGCAGGTACTGCTTTTTGTTTTGTGTTTCTGATCCCTAGCACTGTCTTGCATATAGAGATGCTTAATAAAAAATGGTCAGACTAGATTGATTTGGTAGGAAGGGAAACCATAGAAATAGAATAGCTATCCTGTAATTCAGTAAAATATCACTAAGTAGATTTGCTGTTCAGGGATTATAATTATATTACTCCCAGCATATTATAATATTATATTACATATTATTAATAACATGTAATATACAACTATAATTATATTACTCCCAGCATATTATAATATTATATTACATATTATTAATAACATGTAATATACAACATATAATTATACAATATTATTAACATTATATAATAATATAATAAATTATATATAATAATATATTATAATATAATATATAATAAAAATACATATATATATAAATATAATTACTCACAGAGAGAGGTAGGAGACATAGAGGGACCAATTGGACTAGAAGCCAATCAATCTGGTTTCTAGCCTTGGCTCTTCAGCTAACTACATTCATAGTTTTGAGTAAATCACAACTTTTCTGGGACTCAGTTTCTCAGTTTCCTCGTTTTCAAAATTAGAAGGTTGGACCAAATGAATATAATGTCTCTTTCATTCATTCATTCATTCATTCACTTATTTGTTTATTTGTTTATTTGCTCATTCATTCATTCATTTATTTGTTTGTTTATTTATTTATGGCCATTGGGGTTAAGTGACTTGCCCAGGGTCACACAGCTAGTTCAGTGTCAAACGTTTGGTCTGAGGCCACATTTGAACTCAGATCCTCCTGACTTCAGGGCAGGTGCTTTATCAACTGCACCACCTAGCTGCCCCTTATAATGTCTCTTTTAGGTCTAAATGTGTGGCCATTTGTTCTGTAAAAAGAGCATTGGGACAGATGATCTCTAAGGCTCCTGGTAGGTATGAGCAGGCTGTCCCTTATAATTAACATGGAGCTTTGAAGAAGAACAGAATGAAGAGATGTCATTAGGGAAGATATGATAGGGCTGTCATATGACAAAGATGACAGGTAACAGGCAGAAAGTCAGTAGGTTCTACTGGTACTTTCATAATGGCAGGAGAAAATGAGGAAGTGTTCTAGCGCATTGGGTGGACATCCTGTGTTGAACTTATGGTTGGTCAGAGGGACAAGAGTAACACAGGATAGGCAGGCTTATCAAGAAGGGCTATCAACCTGGCAGTTTTCCCACTTCCAGATCAGGTGAAGTTTCCTTTGTTGAGTCAAATTAAGCTGTAGGCTCTGCTCCTTTCCATGAATTCTAAGTTTTGGTTTTCAGCAAACTGCTCTCAGAACCCAAAGACTTTGGTTTTCACTGGAGGAGCATCCAGTTCACAGATCTATTTGAGAATCTGATAATTTTTTTTCCTTTTAAAATAATTTTATACATGTATAGAGAGCCATCCTTAGAGTTAGAAGCTCTGTGTTCAGGTTTTGCATCTGACATATTTGGTTATGTAAGTTAATCCCACAGTACAACTCCCAAACCTTCAGATATAGATTTATTGTAAGGGAAGTAATTGGAAAATATTAAAGATATACAAATATATTTATTATGTATGTATCACACACACACACACACACATACACACAATTTAGCTTCTCTTACTAGGTTTGCAAGAGGGCCATGTCTATGTGGACATGGTACAAGCTTTCTGATGGGCAAAAACCCAGGACCACCTGGGATGGGAAATAGCAGCTCCTTACCACCCCACACAAGCATATAGCTACCTTACCAACACATTTAATGTGAGTAGTATGTTGCCACAAGGAAGGATAGCTCTTATTCATAATTTGCTTTTAATTTTAAGATCACATTTCTTCACAACAACCTTCTCAGGTTGGGAATGCAAATATTACTGTCTCCATTCTACAGATGAAGAAACTGAAGTCAGAGGTGATATGAGTTTTCTGAAATCATGAAATTGGTAAATTTCAGAGCCAAGATGGAACCCAGGTCTCCTGTCTCCAGATCTAATTTCTTTTTCTCCTGCACCATGTTGCCTCATGTTTAAGCCAGATATAAATGGAGGAAAGTTGAAGTGAGAAGTAGCATTCCATTGGGATACTTTCAATCAATCAATAAGCACTTATTAAGCTCTTACTGTGTACCAAACACTGTGCTAAGTTCTGGGAATATGAAAAAAGGCACAAATATGATCCATGCCCTCAAGGAGCTCCAATTCTAATGGGGAAGACAATGTGCAAACAGATATCTGTGTTTATATAAGATATGTATGAAGTAAATATAGTCTCAGAGGGAAGGCAGTAGTAGTGAGGGAATCAGGAACAGCTTTGGTACAAGGTAGGGTCTGAGCTAGGGCAGCTGGGTGGCACAGTGGGGAGAGTGGAGTGTTTAGAGTCAGGAAGACTCATCTTGTTGAGTTCAAATCTGGCTTCAGACATTTACTAGCTGTGTGACGCTGGGCAAGTCACCTAACCCTGTTTGTCTCAGTTTCCTCATTTGTAAAATGAACTGGAGAAGGAAATGGCAAACCACTTTTACATCTTTGCCAAGAAAACTCCAAATGAGGTCACAAAGAGTCAGGCATGACTAAAAAAAATGACTGAACAACAGCAGGATTTGAGCTGAGTCTTGAAGGAGGTCAGTGAAGCCAGGAAGAACTTTCTGAGAATGGGGGACAGACAGTGAAAGGACATGAAGCCAAGAGATGAAGTGTTGAGTTTAAGAAACAGCCAGAAGATCAGTGTTGCTGGATATTACAATACACAGAGGGGAGTAGAGTATTAGAAGATTCAAGTAGGAAGGGATCAGGTCATGAATGGCTTTAAAAGCCAAGTGGAACATTGTACATTTGATCTTGGAGGTAATAGGGAACCATTGGATTTTATTGAGCCGGGGACAGATATGGTCAGATCTGACTTTTCAGAGAACCAAGCATTTATGCTTTGACTCCATGGGGAGGATCATATATACTCTGGCCCCTTGATAAAAGGCATACAGTCAGTAGGAACTATCCCTTGAACTTCATAAGTAAGGAAAGGGAAGGATTTCTTCTCTCCTCTCTCTCCCCAGCAACACATCTATGGTGATTATTCTCCTCACTCCCTAAGAGTAAATCCAATGGAGAGTTGGCATTGGCTGCATCCCAACAAAAAGTCCAGATCCAAAGAGACTCTAAGTTGTCTCTCCTCTCTTCTTATGGCCTATGGAGAAGGAGGATCACACTTGCCTAGTTGCCAGTCCTTTTTATCATAACTACACACCTTCCCCTCCAGGGTCCCAGGAGATCAGTCAAAACCCTCTGGCAATGCATTCTTTTGAGCAAGGGGCCAGAAATCATGTTTTGCTCTTCATGGAACCAAAGCACCCATTCCTAGCTCTGTGAGGATCACTCCAGTCCTAGCTCTGGCTATGTAAACATAACCAGTGTTTTGTGTGTGTGTGTGTGTGTGTGTGTGTGTGTGTGTGTGTGTGTGTGTGTGTTTGGTAGCAGAGAAGGGATGTCAGGTGACTGACATGGTAAAATCAAAATAGCTGACCACCAAAGCTGAGACCAAGCCTCCATCCATTCATCAATTTACAAGTGTTAATTCAATGACTGTGGTACATCCAGTTTGGTGCTGGGAACTGGGAAGAATTCTAAAGTAGTATGAAACATTGACCTTGACCTCAAAGCATTTATAAGCTAGTTAGGAAAATAAAACCTATACATGTGAAGCAGTGGCCATTCAAAGAAGGGATATAATCTAGAATTGCACGGTCTAGATTAGGAGTGTTGACAGGGTCAGGACGTTGGTGAAATCTAGAGTCATTAGAGGGAGACTACATAGACCTTGAAGGAGAAGTAGAGAGGACACAGGAAACTATTCCACATGGGGGCAAGAGCATGAGGGAAAGGCATGGACCCGTGCCATGGCCAGATGCCTTCAGGACTGTTCTGACCTCTCAGCTTGTGAGCTCCTATGGAATCCTGAGTGGCAGGGCCATGCTGGGCACTTACATCCGGCTAAGTATTATTATCATCATTCCATGTGTGCTGGGGTCGGCTCTGAGCGACAATTGGAGCCATTTACACAGAAGCCTGGAACAGGATCCAAATCACAGGTCCACCTGCTCCAAACACCTCACTCCCCCCGCACTTAACATTTTAGTACAAAATGAAGTGACTAATGGATCTGGCCCAGTGTAAATCCCCAGACAGAATCCCAGCTTGGGCTCTGTGTCTAGACATGCAGTACCAAGGGCAATTTGTGCTTCCAATATCCAGTGCCTTATCAGCTTGCAGGAAAGCAGGTTTGATGGAGTGATAGGGGAAAGATAATGCACCCATGTACACACACACACACACACACACACACACACACACACACACACACGCACCTCCTACACAGGATGACTGGGGAATGAGGATGCTCCTTGATAATGTTTGCATTAGTAAATGGAAAGATCTTAACAGTGTTGTTATATGGCTCTAATCATTCAGAGGGACTGACCTGAAGGTTTCTTTCTTCTTGCAGACTATGCTTCGTGAAGCTAAAGCTCTTAATGATAGCCATCGAGTACAAGTCCGCCAACCGAGAGAGCCGGTAAGCTGCTCGGACTCTGGGGCTGTCACCGATGATGGTGAACATGTATGCCCAGACTGCTCGGACCGCTCTTGCCCAAATGGGCTTTGTTTTTCTTTGAAGCCTGATGCAGCCTATTCTGATATATTCCAGAACACATTTATTGAACTCTACTAATGCCACTCTTCTTCCCCAACCTATTTCCTTATAATTAATAAACTCTGGACAGAGGGGTAGATTGAGCACTGGCTCTGGATTCCAAGGATATGGGTTCAAATCCTGCCTTCAGTGCTTACAACCTATGTGTCAGAAAAATCACTTTACTTCCTCTTATGTGATTACATGACCTTCAATGGCCCTCCAAGTCCTACATGTATGATCTTCTTTGCCATGACTTCCCAAAGAATATAAAACACCCCCTTACTCCAAGTTCTTTTAGGGGAGAGAATAGCAAATATTGAAGATCTCTGCCCAGTTATAAGTGACTCAGCCTTCCTACCCTAAAGCTAAACACCCCTGGCAAGCCTTCTTCTGTCCCCGATCTCTTTTAATGGGAAGGGACGCACACATTCTACCTCTAGGAAACAGCAGATGGGCTCCGGGCTCTTCTGCAGCAGGCAGGGGGCAGAGTGGTTATGGGAGAGATCTGCTCTCTTGATATCCAAATTACAAGCAGCCTATTGTGTGCCATATGCGCTTCTCCCGGTACAGCCTGAATCCAGGTGGCAGAATATCAGTTTCATGTAAATTAGCCAGGAGAGCTGCACTCAAAGTCAGGCGGCTCTCTTTATTTATTTATTTTGCTCTTAATTATGTGCAAATCAGACTGATGGGGGGAATAGGTCTGGCTGGGATAGATAACACCCAAGTCAATATATGATTCGGTGCAGGGGGAGAGCATGACACACTGGCTTGTCTCTATTATATTGAAGACATATTAAGCTAACAATCTGTGCCATGGAAATGGCATTGTGTGCTGGAGAAATAATATAGATGTTTCTCTGGTTCCCTGACCTTTCTCAACAGTTTTTGGAAGAATCAGAACACAAATGGCCAAGATTCTAGGGCTTTTGTCCAATGGGACGGTGCTCATTATTTCCTTGCCAGCACTCACCTACCTTTTTGTAGAAAGTCTGGTTGCTCCTCAGCAGGAAGGGGATTCACAGTATGGCCCATTCTGAACTGCTGAGCAGGACAGACCGCAAAGTATAAGTCAATCCCTCTTCCCCACCAGAACATTTGTTGGGATTTCCTAGAAGGGCATTTCAGTTCCAAGAATTGTTTGGACTCATGATGGTGTCATCTGATTAACAAGTTTTCATTCTCTGGATAAATGGCCTAGTTATGTCAAGTTACCAAATGCAGAGTCCGTTTCTCTGTGCTGGAAAACACTGGATTGGAAAGTGGTCAATCCACATGTTTTTGGTTGTCTTTACCATCTGATCAGATTGCATTTCAGGGCTGATCTGATCAATTGTTATGGTGGGTTTTTTTTTTTTAATCCAAATCAACCAAAAATGGTAGATTTGGGGGCCAAATGTAGAATTGGCCTTGGCCTTTTTTTTTTTCCTAGACTGGCAAAGTGAAGCATGATTATTTGCAAAAATGAAATGATTGATGTCACCCTGCACACAGGTTGAATCATTTCCAGACTTAAAAATGCATTTGGCCATTATTTCACAAGGAGTTCCCTGTATTCATATAGAAAACATTATCCTTTCTAGCATTTTTGCAAATGACATTCTTCACATTACCAACTTTTTCACCTGTCAAGTGGGTAAATCTTTGTGTAAATTTCTGGTGTTATCTCCCTCCCACTTCTCTGCACTCTTCAGAAAAGTGAAATGTGAAATGCTGTCCATCACCCTGAGCACTGTTTCTGTACTAATTTTTTGGCTATAAGTTGCATCCTGTGCCCTGGCTAGTCAGTTCACAAATATGTACATTTGGTCACAAGGGGTCAAAACTACCTCTGATGGCTTGAGGCAGGCAAATTATCCCTCCTGGAAAAAACCACTCAGACCTTGACTTCCTAATAGTTTGGTCAGTGGACACAATACTTATGAGAGAAGAATAATAAAGTATTTATTATTACTTCCTGGAGACTAGTTTTCCTGAATGGACCTTCATATTTATTCCCCAATTGGAAATGTTTTCAACAAAGACGTCTTTTTTTTTTTCAGTGAACAAATAGCCTTATTTTTGGAAAAGTAGGGGAAAACTTGTTCCGTTTTGTTTTTGCTTTCTGTACACAACAACAGCCTTTAATTCTCAAATGTGACTTGGTCTCAACTATGGAAGTACTTCCTCTCTTAAGGAAAAGGTATGCTTAGGAGAAGGGAATGTGGATCAGTGCATCTGAAAATGGAGGCATTCATCAGCACACATTAGCCATAGAGGATGTGCAAAGCTATAAATTAAAATAACTCCTGATAATGTTTTTCTTTTCCTTTTAATTAACCCTTGCTCTAATGAGACATTAAGATTGAAAAGTTGCTTTCCTCCACTTTTGTGCCTTCACGTTTACCCCATGTTAATTCCTTTGTTTCTCCTCATTCCTTCCCCACCCCCATCTCCCCGTCTCCCAACTTAGCATCGTTCCATATTTATTTGTCCTTATTCTTGGCAAGACTGCTTATTTTTGTATCATATTCTTCAAAGAATTTGAAACAAAGGTTGTGTTTTTTTTTTAAGTTTTTCTTCTGGTGTTGGTTGATTTCTTACCAAAATGTTTGATTTAAAATTTTTTTTCTTGTCATTTGCAGAAGCCGAAAGCGGTATGCACTCTTCGTTAACTTTCCTTCCAACCTCAATCCTCTACCTTCACTCCTTCTAACTCCAGGACTAACCCTTTGTCAAGAATTCAGGAAGATAACACCTACCTTTCTGTGGATATATAAATATGTGTACATATATACATATATGTATATAATCACCCTTATCTGGTGCATATATATATATATATATATGTATATATGTATATTTATATACAAGCCCCCTGGTTTCATATCTCTAAATCGATGGTAGCATTCGGTGTTCTGGTTTTATTTGTTAGTTTTTGTGGATTATGCACTAACTTCTTTGCAGGAAACCTTAAAAGGTGGGAGGGAGGGGAGCGGGAAGGAGAATAATCTGATTTTCAGTCGACACCATTGGTGTGACTGATATTTCACTTAAAAAGATTTCTTTTTCTCTTTAGCATTTTTCTGTCTGTTTTTGTATTGTGTTGATGTGTCCACCAGATTTCGTGATGCCATTTTGTCTGCATACCATATCCACATTCCCAGTGATCTCCTCTCTGTATCTTTTTTCAGAGTCTACCTTCTGTAGTATAGTCATGTCTCCCTACCCATGTAACAGAGACCAAGTCCTTGTTCTTGTTTTGCTGATACAGTTTAAAGCAATTTAAGACCTGTACAGTACTCAGTAAAGCCACAGTACTCTTCTTCCAAAGTGTCTTTGGAGAATGATTTCCGTAATTGTTTCACTGAAAGAGTGCCATTGATCACAACAAATATGTCTTTTTTTTTCTCCTTGTATGTTTGACATATTTCTGAATGTGACATCTTGAGTCTCACCATTTGACTGTGTCCTGTTTTATTGCTGTTTGGTGTTGCATGAAGCATGATCGGGAACTTTAGGTGACATTCTTTTCCCTCCTTTCTTGGTTAACCTTTTCAATCTAATTGCTTTTAACTGTCTTCTCTGTGATGATCTTGTTGAAAACATATCATTATGTCTTCCACCTAGTCATCTCCTCAAGCTTCATCTTCCTCACAGTTTGTGTGCTCCGTCTTATATTTATTTATGTGTGGACATGTAGGTTCATATGTTTGTCTTATCTTCTTCCTTGAGTCTCCTAATTCTGTGGTTTTGACTGGTTGTGTGGAAAAAGAGGTGGCTTCCTGTCAGTTTGGCATTAGTTGTATGACCCAACTGCAGAGAAGTTACTGCAACAAGTCGAATCTTCTAGGATGTGCAATGTTTGCACCTCTGCTGTTGGCTTTTGAGTCTTCTTAACTTGCAGTGAAGGCATGTTGTGCTGATGAAGGCATGCTTCATGTCCACAATTAGGATGGGCTTGCTCCCAGAACAAAATACCCAACATTCTCCCAATTAGAGCAAGTATTTCCATTTTAACGATTCTTTCCCTAAGAACAATTAACACACACACACACACACACACACACACACACACACACACACCCCCGTACTTCATTTTTAGAAACTATGACAAACTAAATCAATCCCTACCTATGTTACCTATACTTGGGTCACACAAACTGGGAGCAACCTTTGTTACCACATTTGCGTGTCGTTATTTGACTATGGCATGGAATGTCAACTTGTCTTCCACCTCAATCCTTTCTTTTTTTTCTTGAGTTGCAAGTAAAAGTATGTGTCCAGGTTTACAATAGAAATAACAAAGCCCAGAAGGAAGTAGTAGCTGCTAAGTGGTAACACATGATAAGCCTCAGGGAAGCCTGTAAGTTGGCTTCCCGGGACACCACTGTGTGCCCTGCCTCTTCTGTCCAGCTGCTTTCCATCCTGGAAGTAAAACTAATTCAGATAGAGTGCCAGCCTCTACTAGATGCCCCTGGCACAATGCACTGATAGGGGTTACTAGTCCTGGTAATGATTCCTCCTTGGAGACCACGAACCAACCTTAGATGGTTGCTGTTTACTTTTGCTTTTGCTCACTCCAGTTCCCATTAGTGCATGGTTGTTAATATGCATATTTCCATATACTGTAGTACTGAAGACTATATTATCATGCAGCTTGTTAGCATGTTATATTACCTGGGGGAATGGCACAATACATTTGCAAGGAGGATTATACTATAATGAAACTTACCCATCTTACATATTCAGGGTAGCTAGAAAGCTGTTTCTTTTCCTTTTTTTCCCCTTTCATTTGTACTTTTACTGAGATTTCCCCTCCCAATCATTGGCACTCCTTAAGAGCTATAGATCTGTATAATTGGTACAATTTTTAGGAATATGATTAAGAACTTTCATGGAGTTTCTCTGCTTTCATGATTAAAAAAGGCAAAATCCAGTTCCAATCTTGTCTCTATTGCTAATCTGCCTTTATTTTCACCATGTTCTTCTCTTTCACTTACCAATCAATCAGTGAATTAATAAGCATTCCTTAAGTGATAGTTCTGTTCTAGGAATTGTGAGGGATGTTACAAAGACACAAGTGATAGGGTCATTCCCCTCAATGAGATGACATTTTGTAGAGGGAGATAACGTGTGTGTGTGTACACACACACACACACGCAAATATGGAGGAAGGCATATCTGGGTATATCAAAAAATACCTCATGTAGGAGATCTGAGGTATCTGAGCTAACCTTTGAAAGAAGCTAGGGATTTCAAGTATCAGAGGTAAGGACAGTAATAACAGGCATGGTGGGGAGCCTACAAAGACATAAAGATAGCTACATATATATTACCTTCATCTTTGGCAACTTGAGGCATTCTACACTCAACTTCCAGAACAATTGTGGCTTCAAATATTCTTGGAATTCTGATAGGGCTTAAGAGGAGAACTGAAAAAGAAGTTGTTTCAGGGCCTCTTTGTACATGGTGGCCCAAAGTGATTATTATTTGTGAGGCTTTCAAGGTGAGCCGCACCTTATTTGGGAGAAGGAGGACAGGATTCTGGAGTGTTCTTACTATCTCATTAGTTCATTTTCCTTTGCTAAATGCAGCTGCTCCTGGGACAAGGCCTGACTCATGTGAACTCTAACATGATGTGTTTCAGAAATTGCTTTTTTCTAAACTGGCTCTCTATTAAGGAAATGTACCAGAAGAGAACCTGGCCCCTGGCTGAGACTATGACTCATAGTGAGGAAAAGATCAATTCAAATACAAATCTAAGACAAAAAAATGAAGATTAAATGAATGTCCTCAATAACACCTCCCTTGCTGAAGAATTAGAAGGCAGCATGGTTTGTTTGGTGTGGGAGACCCTGGACTAGGCTCACATTGGAGGGCTGAGTTCTGGTCCCTGTTTGAGAGAAACAATTGTTTTATTCTTTGTCTTCATGTGCTCCATACCTACAAGCATGTCTGCCACATAGTAAACACTTAATGGATGCTTTGATGATTGATTATGACCTTGGGTAAATCACTTACTTTTTCTGTGCCTCAGTTTCCTCATCTATAAAATGAGGAGACAGATTAAGTGTTCTATGTGACCCCTTCCAGCCCTGAAGTTTGATTCTTTTCCTGAAAGTGTCTCAGATAATATATATGTATACATGAATATATATATATATATATATATATATATATATATATATATATGTGTGTGTGTGCGCACGTATACATACATATATGTGTGTGTGTGTGTATATATATATTACATATACATATACATATACATATATATATACATATACATATACATATACATATATATATACATATACATATACATATATATACATACATATATATATACATATATATATATATGTATGTATATATATATATGTATATGTATATGTATATATATATACATATACATATACATATACATATATATATATACATACATATATATATACATATATATATATATATATATGCCTACTACATCTGAGGCATCAAGAAAAACACTGTGGAGTGTATAAAAAGGGCATGGTTCCTTCTCTCAGTGTCCACATTTCTCTTGATAATTTATACTTACTTAGCTATCTCATCAGTATTCTACATTGATGAAAAGAAGTACATTTAAGAAAATCCCTTGGCTTTTCCCAAATAAAAGAGACAGAACAGAGGGTAGATGTGAGAACCGTTTGAGGCATAGGAAAGCCAAATTTTAGCAAGATCCCTCAAATGGACAGGGCCAAAGATATGCATACCAGAATGGCCAAGAATCAACAGAACAAGAAAAAGAGCAGATCCTACTTTGTGATGCTCTGTGTAACAGGAAGTCTTGTGTTTGGAATGAACAAATTCACAGAACAAAGGGAATACATTAGATATTCCCTAAGAGCAGAAATTGGCCAACAGTGCTTTTTTTTTTTAATGGCCTTTTTAGAATTCAGCTAATTTATATGTTGAAAACTAAGGAATTTCCCAGAACCCAAGTACAACTTTGTCTATGTTACTAACATCTCAGAGGCAGAAAACTGATGAAAAGTGATCCAGAGGGAGAGAAGCTCTTTTCTCAGTCAGAGGATAGAGACATAGGCAAAATCAGTATATTCTATTTATTTATTTTAAGGGAGATAAAAGAGTCTTGGGAGGTCAAGAACAGTAGCCAAAGGACAGCATACGCTTGACAAATAGGAGTCACTTGAACCTAAGGTTCTGGTCTTCTATTTTTTAAGGAAGAGATAGATGAAAATTTCCTTTAAATTCTTAGAACTTTGGGAATTTTGAATGTACATAGAAGTCTTAAAGCTTTTATCAGGATAAAATATGAAAAAACAGATATATATATATATATATTTCCACTAAGAATCTTTGAAATCATGTAGCCAGCCAGCAATTTTTTTGCACTTCAGTCCATTGGAATCCAAGCGTACATCATGACCAAGTTATTAAATAGGAGAAGAGTCTGGTGGGATGCAATGATACTTCTGTATTCGTCGAGAATTCCTTTTCCTTTTTTCTTGAGTACAGGATTCATTGATGAAATTACTATTCAGAAAACTGAAGGAGAGTCATAGATAAATCAGGATGTCCACGGATGATGCTGTTTCTATACAAACATAGAAATGATTGAAAGCATCCCATCCCAAGTCCAACAGGAGGGTGTGTGTATCCTAGAATTATACAGTCAGTTGAATTATGGAAGATGCTGTTGGAGGCCTAAAGAAGAAATCCCACCATAGCCTCAAGTCAGTCCCAATTAGCTCGCCCATGTGCAGATGTTCTTCTGGAATAAAATACTTCTGAAATTTCAGCCTGTAGAAAGGACCTACAATGCAAATTGGTTACCTCCTGGGTAGCTCATTAGTTACTACCAAGGGCTAAAAGGAGCAACAGTAACCAATGACATCATCAGAGATCATATGCTTCAGACCTTAATCATTTTAATTACCTTACTCTCTAGCTTGACTTTAATGGACATGAAGGAAAGGCTCCACAATAAATGATGTACTTGGCAGTTGTTAGAATGCTGAACCCAACCTTTCACTGCGTGGTTAGCTGTTCTTCACCATAGGGATAAGAACAGAGAGAAAGAAAAAAGATTTTCATTTGTGGGAAGCCTGTTCCTTCCTATTTCGTACAATGACACCATGGACTCAATTATTGGGATACACATATACACAAGTGAAACAGATAATATGGGGAAGAGAAAGACACTCCAGGTCATACGAGAGGCTTGTTTGATACATGCTTCTCACTGAGCACTCGATAAATGTCAGAATTCTGCTTTTGATCTTCATTATTCTAACCTTTTGTATGTGTGTCACTCAAAAAACTTTTTTGACTTAGACTAAATAAGCACTGATAAAGATGTACACTATTCTTATTTGTGGCATACACCTCCATTTTCTGCCCCAAATGGGGAAACAGCCATGAATCTCTTTATAATACCTGGCATGTATGCTAGTTGGTACTCGATAGAAGCTTATCAATTGACTGATTGATTGGTATACCGAGGAGTTGCTTCCACTCATCCTATTATGATTAGGGTAGTATATGACCAAAGATATGAGATTAAGAAATGCTGATCCATCCATAAATCTGTATACATTGGGAATTCTTTTGAAAATACAGCCTACTTTTGACGATTCACAGTTATAGAGGGAAAAACTAATTATACGTCTAAAAATTAAAACCTCATTGATAATATAACATAGTATATAATACTGCTTCTAGTGTCAAAGGACCTGGGTTCAAATTCTGCCTCTGGTACTCACTGCCTATATAATCTGGGGCAAATCACTTCACTTTTTCCTGGGTCTCTGTTTTTTCATCTGTCAAATGAAGGGACTGGCCTAGGTGGCCTTTGAAGTCTCTCCCAGCCATCAATCTCTATTCCTGTGATCCTGTTGGCTATGGAATATAAACACTGAGCTAGCTAGAGACTTGCTTATTCAACTGTTTTATGGCAAATTCATCCTTTCTATCTGGGTCCTGCTGCCAGCCGTTGAGGGTAGTGGAAGGGCCGAGATCATGGCTAATCCACAAAGTGGAAAACCTACTGCTCCATGATTGTGAGTTGAAATGCTGTAATCAGTTTAGACCCACACTTCCCTTATTTGTGAATAGTTTCATTTCTACCTGTATATCCAGGGCCAGAACAGTCAAATCTTCAAGGATTTTCTGCTATTATTTCATGTTAATAACAGCAATGACTCAGGTTCAGTTTCCTTCCATCACAATGTCTTGTTCTGGGTATTTAAGAGATTCTTGTGATACAAGACCATTATTTTGTGGTAATGACCTACTGAGAGATCTCCCAACTGAACAGAAGGTCACCTGGGTCACTCTTGTGTTATTACAGACAGATCACTCTCTGATTGCTACAACCCTTCCATGAAAGAGTCTGCCACTAGAAAATGGTCACATAAGAATCACCCTTTTGTTTTCAGTATTTGACACTTCCTTCCTATAACCTAATTCTAAACATTAACCTTAAGCACTACATATTTGCAGATCAAAGGATATCTGTGTTTTATATGTTGCTGTATTTAGTATCTTCCCTAAATTGTACTCTAAGCTAAAAAAAAAAGTATTAGCTAGTTCCATCTGAATCCAAGGCATATTAGCATGTCCTGCTTTTGATCTCTAAGTGATTAAACTTGAGGGAACAGATCCTAATGCCTGTTTATCCCAAAGAAGTTTCCTTTATTAATTCTCATCATCCAAGTACAAGTTTTCCTGTTTAATACACACACACACACACACACACACACACACACACACATTTTACACAGCCCTTTTGAGCAGGCTTCCTATTTGGAATAATGCTTTCCTTAGTTGCAAAAACAAAATCTAGGGGATATAAATTTTATTTCCTGGAAAATGGGAGTCAGAAAGTCAACAAGCATTTATTAAGTAGCTATTATGGGCCAGGCTTTGGTATAGACACCTATGGATCCTTTCACATCTGACTCTAACAAACACATAACTTTTATATGCAAACTCAGGTCACTTGAGTATCTCTGCCCATCAAATCAAATGCATGATCTATTCCATTTGTTAGTGTGGTGATTATTCTTTTCCTAAATATTCATCTTATTTTTTAAAATATTTTGTCATTATCATGCAGATGTTGTGTTTTTCCATGCATTGGTAGCTGATTGTCTTGTACTATGCCCCTTGGTAATATGTGGTATACATACTTGTATATTTATGTATGCATATAGGGGTCCCATTAACTCTCTATCGTTAGAAGTAAACATTGGCATTGAAATGGCTTCATTTGACTGATAACTCTTTGACTTTGACCTTTAGTAGCAAGTTCCTGGGAAGTCAGTTATCAAGAAGTTCAACCCACATACCCAAGTAGGCAGAACAGACTATTTCTTGAACATATTAGGTTTCTGGCATCTGGATTTTCTTTGGTTTCCTTAAAAAGATGCCCAGGAAATGCCACTTGGGGAAGCAATGACTAGAGTTCACTGATGGCATGATCAGATCAAATGCTGAGGATTTTAGAACTGAGGGACTGTAGACTTGGCATCAAGTCTGCCAGATGACTGTGGGTACCCTTACATCCCTTCCCTTCTAGTGGGCCCCCTATAAGAAGCAACCATATGATGTAACCTCAGAATTTCTCCTTAGAATGTCTCCTCACAGTCCTGTCTTCTCTGTTTGTGTTTCACTGAGCAGCATATTAATTAATCCTGGAAACCATCTCAAAATCCAAGAAGGTACTTTAGGATTCTTCATTGCAAGTGATGCCAAAGAAGTCAAGAGGTAAAATGGATGTTTTGTTCTAACTTTCCTTCTTTCCTGCATAAGTCACAACAGCTCCCCCCAAACCCAGAAACTTGGTGGGAGGAGACCATTGAGATGGAGGGTGAACGAGTGCAATGCTAAAGGACTTAAAACTTTTAAGAACTTCCTTTACATGGTGTCAATTAAAAAAAAAATCTCTGAACTTCTAGCATGGGCTGATTCATAGTTACCTTAATTATAGAAATGCCAGATTTCCATCTCATGGGCAGTATTGGCCTAAGTGAGATAACATGAATTTATTCTGCTACTGATGTTAACAATAATAACAGCAGCAACAACGTTTATAAAGCACTTACTAGGTGCTAGGCACTGTGATAAGCACTTTACAAATATTATTTCATGTGATCCTCACAACAGCCCTGAGAAGTAGGTGCTATTATTATCCCCATTTTACATGTGGGGAAACTGAGGTAAATAGAAGTTGTTACTTGTCCAGGGTTGCACAGTAAGTGAGATCAGATTTATAATCAGATCCTCCTGACTCCAAGTCTTGGCACTCTATGTACTAGATGCTCCTAAAACTATAGACTAATAATGGAATTTAATAAGCATTATTCAAGTCTCAAATTATACAAAAAATAATACAATACAAGGTAGAATATAAAAGGAATACAGGTAAAAGAAAGAATGAGGCAAACACATAAAAGCAGTGTTTCTCAAACTTTTTGATTTCAGGTCCCCGTTGAACTCTTAAAAATTATTGAGGACCCCAAAGAGATTTTTTTATGTGTGTTACATCTATCGATATTTACCATCTTAGAAATTAAAACTGAGATATTTTAAAATCTGCATTTATGAATTCATTAAAACAACAATAAGAAGTCTATATATGGTAACATAAATAACATAGTTCATGAAAAAAATATTTTCAAAAACTAGAAGAGTAGCATTTTATATATTTTTGCAAATCTCTTATCTGGCTTCATAGAAGACAACTAGATTCTCATGTCTGCTTCTATATTCAATCTGTTGTGATATGTGTTTTTGTTGAGATGTGAAAAAAATATAATCTTACACAAATGTGTAGTTGGAAAAGGAAGGAGGATTTTAACAGGTGAATAATGTCTTAATATTATTATGAAAATACTTCTGACATTATGGATCCCCTGATAGTGTCTCACAGACCCCCAGGGATGCATGGACTACACTTTGAGAACCACTTCTCTGGGGAAATTTGAGGACGGAGAAGTGTATGTCAATTGATGAGAGTTTTCTTCCCCCATATGTAGAAGCAGGGTCAAATCTGGTTCCCCTTCAGGGTCTTCTGCAATTGGTTTCTGTGTCTTTGCTACCAGAGCTCCAACTCCTTGAAAATGGGACAGAGCGAATTCAAGCTGGGTTGGTAAATAGGACTGACTTCCTTGCCCTTCTAAGCTCACCATTAAGAAGGAATGCATAAAGGTCCAGATTAGTAGACAGAAAAGCTTGACACAGCAGCTCTGCTACATGAGCCTGAGGCTAGGGAGCCCTGCAGAAATGTAGATCACTTATGCCTCCCCCTACTCCCATTTGTATAATTCCCTTTCCCTTTGCATCTCTCCCTAATGAATGTCACCAACACAAAGTGGTCCAAGAAACAAATTACATCCTGTAATATTCAGTAGTGCAACATGTCTCATTTCTGTGCTTTATGGTATTCACAAATACATGCTGACATATAAGTACAAGACCAGGCTGTGATTTTCCATGGTGTGGGGGAGGTGTCAGGGCAAATGCTGTCAGTTAGGGGATTTCAAATAGATGTGTAGGCAGAAAGCCACAGAAAGGACTTAGGAGATTTGAATGGAACTAGACAAGTTGGTTTTTTTATTTGGTTTTCAACGGAAAACTTGATTAAGATGACTTGCTATTAAGTATATACATATATATATATATATATATATATATATATATATATATATATATATATATATATATATATATATATATATATATATATATATAGTCAACTAAAAAAAAGCAGCAGAAATGAATGAGTTAGAGCTGTGGAAAACCCAAATGACCAGATCAGGTAGTGTTATAGGGGAAGGCGGGGCTCAAATGATCAGAATCCTGGGGAAAATCTGGTTGGGGCCAGTACATGACCAACATAATCAAGGCATAGCATTTTCTCATTTATTTGTAAGCAGCCTCAATAATAGTCTTTGGTACATAGCCATCCAATGGACTTCATGGCATCATCTATACAGAGACAGCAAGTGGAAAGTAAAGGACCCCCAAAGAAGAGCTAGGCCTGGATTTGTAATTTTATTTATGTAGGGAATTTGGGGGTGAGGAAACTCCCTCTAGTAGCTCAGGTTAGCACCTTCTTTGCAATTAGCAGTCTTTGAAGGTTGCCTATAGCATGCTTCTCAAACTTTTGACTTCAGGACCCCTTTTTACTACTAAAAATTATTAGGGCCCCTAAAGAACTTGTATTTATGTGGGTTAGAGTTATTATTTGTCTTATCAGAAATTAAAAATCTTAGTTTTAGTATGAAAATAGTTTTGACCATGTAGATCCCATGAAAGGGTGTTGGGGACCCCCAACTATAGACTTTGAGAACTGCTGGCCAGAGTGCTGCAAAAGTTAAGTGACTTGTCCAGGGTCACACTGACAGTATGTATCAGGTGTAGGATTTTAGTGCATGTCTTTCTGCCTTTGATGCAGGCTCTCTAGCTACTGTGACAAGCTGTCTCTTGACTAAGACATGTAATCACAATATGTTACTTAAGACCCAGGTGACTGCTCTTTTCCTCACGTATCTAGGGAAGCAAGGCACTTAACAATGAGACTCAGTTTCCTTATTTGCAAAATGGAGATAATAATAGTCCCTACCCTACAGGGTAGGGCAGGTAGTTGGTGCAGTGGATAGAGTACCAGGCCTGGAATGAGGTAGACTAATCTTCCTGAGTTCAAATCTGTCCTCAGACTCTGTTTGCCTCAGTTTCCTCCTCTGTAAAATGAACTGCAGAAGGAAACGTCAAACCACTCCAGTATTTTTGCCAAGAAAACCCCAAATAGTTTCATGAGAGTTGGGCATGATGAAATTACTGAATAACAACAACAAAACCCCGCAGGGGTTGTTACAAGGGTATCATAAGATAATCTATGCAAAGCACACTGCAAATATTAAAGAGATACATAAATGTTAGCAATTATATTGTTGCCTATAAAATGAGGAGGATGAACTGAATGACCTCTTATGGTTCCTTCCAGCTCTAAATCTATCATAGTAATGCCTCCTGTGTGCCAGAAATTTAATAAAATGGATTTCATCACACCACTAATACTAAGTCCTCATAAGGCATTATTCTATGCGTTGTTGTAGACTTACCTTATATTACCTCATTTGGTCCCATCAGAACATCCTATTAATTAGGTTTTGTTGCTTGAATATCATATAATGAGTGATCTTTTGAACCAGGCTGGGGACCTTTTGTAGATGCATGCCTGTTAAGTCTTGTTTAATCAAGGTGAAATATTCACTGAGAGCATATACATGTGTTCTTTAGTTGATTGCCTTTTTTTTTTTGTATTGAGGAGTTTAAAATACGTAGCTATGCAGGACCTTAGAAATCACCTAGTTTAAATCCCTCATTTTACAGATGAAGAAACTGAGGCTTAGGAAGCTGAAGTGATTGTCCAAGGAGTGGAGGAAAATGACAGAGCTGGATTAAAACCCAAATCTTCTGACTTGAAATTGAGCACCCTTTCTGGGGAGGATAGATCACCCAATGACTTAGCTTCATAAACTTAGGCAAATCACTTCATATCTCTGGACTTCATCAGTAAACAAGAGTATTTGACCAGCTGATCTTCACGGTCCCTTCCAATGCTCATGGTATATGGCTGCCATTTTGCCTTCTGGATGTTGATGCTGGATTTCATATCCCAGAGTCGCCATCTGACTCAAACACCATCTGCTCTTCCTCTCCATCACCACCATTCTTTTTGCTTAATGAGCAAAGGTTATTTCAAAGCATCACCTTTGTAAATTTTGAGCAAGGAATAGCCCCATCTATCTCCCATGTTCCTTAAATCTTTAGTTTGCTTCTAAGGAATCGAGAGATCTGAGTGGTGAGCTTGCCAGTGGCTGGGCCTTCACTTTCCACATGTTCAGCTGAGGTACCCTACATGATGCTCTCAAAGATGAAAGACAAGCGAGCTAATCTTCTGGGTTACATTATCAACCTTTCCCCCAGTTACTTTTTCAATGAAAGTTTATTAGAAGAAGCACTAACTCGAAGAGCAGAGCCTCATGTTTGAAATGAAGGGTCTTGCAGTAAACACTTCCATCTTTAAACGTCTAAACCTTTCAAAAGATTAAAGGAAATTAGTGCTGGCATGTTTCATTAATTTGGCACCATAGCAGGAGGAAATGTGGGACTCATTTCATTTGGGTGGATTAAGAAATGTGTCAATTTTTCCATTCTCTCTCTCCAGGGCATTTTTTTACTGCAAAGCCTGTCATGATGACATCACAGATCCCAAAAGGATAAAAAAATGTGGCTGCAAACGGCGTAAGTAATATTTCTTCTGCTTTTCCTCCCCTACCAACCCCCACCCCTCAACCTCGCTTCCTTTCCCATCTCCTAAGGAAACTGTTCCACTTAACGACTTTGCTTAAATGTGTTTATGTTTCACACACTGGTACAAAGAGACTTGGAAATAAATATTGTTTGCTCAGTTGGCAAATCTGCCATTCACATCAGCCCAGACCACCACTCTCCCTGTTTTCTCTCCCTTCCCCCTGCCTTTTCCTGTTCCTTCTCCAAGAAGTGACCTAAATGAGTTTTCATGGCCTCCTGACTTAAGAACAGTGCTGGTGAAGATGAGTCTGATCTGGGAGGGTAAAATTCAATATGCAAAAAATGGGGGGTGGGGGAGGGGAAGGGAGGAGGCAAGGCATCCAGCAGTCCTCCTTCAGCCAGAGGGAGCTCAAACTAAGGCAATTTTATTTCCTGATAGTATGATCTTGCTGGCTAGTGGGACTTAACAGGGCATTAAGATAAGCAGGACCCAGTCAGGATATCAAATCATAATGACATCTGACACCCTTTCTATTTATCATCCAGATAGATGAGGTCATAAGATTCTGGCACCAAAGGGGGAAAAAAAGTGAAATTGAGATATCTTCATTCATCCTGGCCTTAGATCATTGCCAGGCAGATTTACTTTGATTATTTTACTCAAGAGAAGCAGCTTGACATAGATCGTGGATGACTGGTCTTAGAGCAGAAAAGTCAAGTGTGACATAGAGCATGGATGACTGGTTCTAGAGCAAAGAAGTCAAGTCAGTTCATCTAGCATTCATTAAATGCCTACTGTGTGCCAGGCACTATGCTAAGCTCTGGAGCTACAAAGAAAGAAAGGCAAAAGACAGTCCTTGCTATCAAAGAACTGCCAGCTTGATGAAGGAGTTCACAGTCTAATGGAAGACCTGGTTCAAGGCTCTCCTCTGACACATATTGGCAAGGTGACCCTGGGCAAGTCACTTAACCTTAGAGAGTCTGGCAACTCTCTAAGATTATGAGTGGCTGAGAAGATGCTGGCCTGCATTTGGTGGTGGAAATTTCATCATTTCATTTCTTCATCACAGGTCCAGTCACTGTCCTTATTCTGTCTCACTCAAGGAGGCATTTGTCTGTTCTTTCACTCTCTGTGGTCCCCAAAGGCAGAATAGGCTGCATTCAGTATCATATGGCATGCCTATCTCAAATCCCTTCCAAGCCAAGCCCCAAGAAGGCTCTTTAAATATGGAGATTTATGGACTGAAGTGACTACCTTTTCTAGAAATGTTGAACAGGTATTACCCATTTTTTGTTCAGTGACTCATATCCATGGGGGAAATGGACTGGGCATTCTCTACTTTTTTAATGGCAGGGTGGGGAAGAAGAATCATCAGTCTTGATATAATGATATTTTTATAATAATAATAACAATAACAATAACAGCAACCATCATACAGTGCTTTAAAGTTTACAAAGTTCTGTATATATTATCTTATTTGATTTTCACAACAGCCCTGTGAGGGTTACTATCTTTTATTATCTATTACTATCCTCATTTTACTTATAAGTAAACTGAGGCATAGAGATGTTAAGGATACTCAGGATCATAGGGTTAGTAAGTCTTTGAGGCAGGATTTTAACTCACCCAAAGTTCCTCATTCTTTCACCTCTCCCAGCTGAAGGTGATTAAATGGTGTCCTAGAAGTCAAGTCTTCCTCCTTGAAAAGAAATTGATTTCTAGTGGAAAATGCTAAGTAAATCTGTTTTTTTAATGGGAAAAACTAGTCTCTCCAGCTTTCTTTGCAGGGTGGCACCTTTGGCTGAAGGTACCATTTCCAAGTCTGATCTAATGTTTGATTGCTTCAGAATAGAATGTAAGCAGATTAAAATCTGAAATAGTCCAAGCTGAATTGGAAAATAGACATGGATCATAGAGTCTCAGTGGCTGTCTACTCCATGCCGTGGGTGCTCTGGATAGGAACTGGACCTGTGATTTCATTTATGTGGGCAGTTATTCAATAAGGCAACTATGCATGCAAGTGGACAACTTCTCTACAACTATTAGTCTTGGAGAGCTAGCTACTTTGAGCAATAAGAGGTTAAGTGACTTGTCCAGGGTCACACAGTTAGTGTGTACAGTGGCAGGAGTAGAACTCAGGTCTTTCTGGCTCCCAAAGCCAACTCTCTACCCAGTCTGCCATGTTGCTTCATGGTTTAATCCATAGCCAAACAAAAATCATCCTCTGCAATATGCAATATATAAGTACTCATCTGGCCTTTGTCTGAAGACTTCCAGCAAGGGACAACCCAGTGTTTCCTGAAGTGTGACATGGGAATGGGGTGAGCAGGCCAAATGGGGAATACGTCAATGGCTGATCCACATGGAAGGGATGATTGGGCACCAGCCTTTGATTTATTGTCCCTTCCACTAAATCCTGAGAGTTATCGCAGAAGGGCTGAGGTAAGAGTTATTGTCTGGTTGCTTTAGATAATGGAGTGGCCCCAGAAAGAGGGGTTTATTAACTATAACAAAGATTCTTATCCTTCCCATTCCCAGCAGGAGACATAGTGAGTACAAGGGCAGCTGTTGTGTGAAAGAAATCCCTCTAATGGCTGCAGAGGGAACTCAGGCTCTTCTGGAAGACTCCATGAAGAGATCCACTTTCCCAAAGTTTCTTCTTGATGTGAAGAATCCACAGAGAAACAATTCTTTTGTTCCGAGGACCCTCCCAAATAGCTAACCCCAGGAGGGTACAGAGCCTGAGAAAAATCAAATTATGTGCCCTTCCCCTTCATCTCCTTAGTATTCATATACTGGTGAAGCAAGGTTTGAATGAATATCAAAGGGAATCTTAAAGGAACTACTCTTTCTTACTGTAGCCATCCCTAGCCCTATCTGTATCGATAACACTGTAGATGAACACTTCAGAGTTTTTTGTTTCTTTCTTTTATTGATTTACTTATTTTTTAGTCCTGGCTAGTGTATGTGAAGGAGTAGCTGGAGGGCCTGAGGTGGAAGAGATTCATTGGAATGTCTGATGGAATGTTGGTGCCAGAGGGGAACTTAGAAACTGCCTTGTCCAACCCTCTCGTTCAATAGATAAGGAAACCTAGGCCAGAGAGAGGAATGGACTTACCTAAAGTCACATGAAGAGTTAGGGGCAAAACTGAGACCAGAATCTATTTTTTAAAGAGTGTTCTATCTCTTAAATCATACCTTGGGCAATCCTCTAATTCGCCATACCCTGGGGATAACTCTGAGACCCACTGACTGCCTGGATTGGTCCAGTCATCCAAAGATATGTAAACAGAAAGAAGAGAGAAGGAACACACTTCTCTGGGTTTGCCATTTACTGTGTGACCTTGGCTAAATCACTCTGTCTCTCTGAACCTCAGTTTCCCTACCTCTTAAATGAAGGGATTGGACTAGATGGCTCCTAAGATTCACTCAACCTCTATCTAAATCGATAGTCCCATGAAATCTTGGAGAAAGGGAACCAGCCCTCTTCAAGTAAACTAAACTCTCAAGGAAAAAGAGAAACCCTTAAGACCACATCCAAGTAACCATGCCCTTGGTAGGCCAGTAGAAGAAAGACCAGGTTATAGAAGGTGGAAGAAGGAATAGGAAAGTGAATGAGGGTGATGGTGACATTAAAACAAGGGTTCTTAACTTCTGTGTGCATCTTGTCAGGCAAAGCCCATATCTAGACTTTGTCTCAGAAAAAATGGTTTTGAATGCGTTAAATAAAATACAGAGGATTGCAATGGAAGCCAATCATATAGAAATGCAGTTATCCAAATATTTGTAAAAACAAGCTCATGGACCTCAGGTTAAAAATCCCTATATTGAAGTGATATGGTGGAGAAGGCTCAACCAAGGATCCTTCAGAGTCAGGTTTCTAATGACTCCAAATGAAATGAAAAGAAACAAGTAAATACCTTTTCTTTTTTTTTAAAGATGCTGAGGGCAAATATTTGACCTACCAGGGTATTTTCTCTCACTCTAGTCCTAGACAAGCCAACAGCAATAGTTACTTTCCCTACTGGAGTGAGAGGGGGGGGGGAGAGAGAGAGAGAGAGAGAGAGAGAGAGAGAGAGAGAGAGAGAGAGAGAGAGAGAGAGAGAGAGAGAGAAGAGAAGAAGAAGAAGAAGAAGAAGAAGAAGAAGAAGAAGAGAGAATATGCTCATAACTGTTAGAAATGATTTTATTTTCATCATTTTCCTTAAAGATAGTTCAGCTACTGAAGCATATGATTTTTAATCACGTGTAGCCTGGATCATTGCAGAAGCAGTGTCTCTTGAAAAGCTAAACCAACATGACAAGGTTTTGTTTGGGTTTCCCTCCCTCCCCTACCCCCACCTCCATTGCAGGTCTTGGCTGTCAAGCTAATATTTGACAGCAAAGTGGATTGTCCAAATATTTTTTTTCATAATTAACAAGGCAGAGCAGTCAGTGTTAGAATGAAATGCAGATGAGGGGGGGTAGAAAGTGAATTGCTAAAAATAAACCTCCCCAGGCACGCAGGTGAGCAAAATGGGAAAGAGGTATTTTTTGTGACAAAGAAATCTTAATTACAAGGGCATTAATTATCAGAATCTTCCCCAACCAGTCAAAAGCCAGGTTCAAGAATAATGCATTGGTAGGCCCATGTCTTTTTGGAGGCTGTCTATACATTCACCATGACAGCATCAAGGCCTGAGCAAGAAGCTGACCCACATAGCCATTTGTCCAAACCTGTTAGGTTAGGTATTAATAATTTACCTAGGAGTGGTATATCTCCACAAAGCAAGGATAATTAAAATAACCGGCCTTCCTTTTACAGCTTCTTCCCTCCCATCTTCCTTTGTCAAATAACCTGTAATGTTTCATGTCACCTTGTCCAGAGGAATTCCCAAAGGTGGAAATCCACTGTGCTTCTAAACTGGTCATTCAGTGTTTATGTAGTTTTAACTTTTGCATTTCTTTGATTTCCACATAGCTTTCCAAGGAAGAGAAAAGCACAATTTGG